AACTTGGAAACGATTTAATTTTCCGTCCCCGGGGTCATTAAAGTAACGGATGGATGGCTGATCGACAGGTTCGCAGAAGACGACAACGTTATTTCTACCGGAAGGAAGTGACATGTTGCTATCGGAAACTATGCGTTGTTGAAATTAAACGCTACCGGATGTTGGTAACGGATAGCAATGCTGGAAACACGGCGTGGTTTTATAAACTGGTATTGATATGCCCTTTCAATTCAAAACAACACAGCGGTATTAGAGAGGAAATCCCCTTTAGCAATTCATATTGAGTAAGCCTAGACAATTGCTCCTGCAATTTAATCAGTTGTACGAGTAAAACCGGTATTACATGTTATGTTCTAACCTAGATCATAATTGAACCGGATGGTGCAACTTTGAAATTGTCATATTTGCGGTGATGTTTCTATTATTATTAATTAAATCGATTGTATGACTAGACTTGAATATGTAATATTGTAGACTTGAGATGTACGCTCATAATTATTATTTTAAGGATATTTTGCTATTGGCTATATATTTATCAGATGACCCTGGTATCTGTATTATAACATAAAATAGGATCTTGTTATTGCAATCACACAATAACACCATGAAGAGGAATACAATCAGGGCGCAAACTACGTCTTTTTACCTGAAAGTTTTACATAAACAACATTTTTTCATTAATGATTCGATTGCATTCTTAGAATTGAGCATTTTTCATAAAAAGGAACATTTGTCTATAGAGAAAATTTAAATATAAATGAAAGTAAATAATTTTGTTCATTATCCACTTCAGCTTTGTAAACATTTTTTTTTAAATATATAAGAAATGGACGTTTGAGAATGTATGTTCTTAATATACCCTGTTAATGGATTTGCCAGCTTTTAATTTTGATAAGACAATTGAAAGTTTAGAACCGAGCCAGGCTAGTTAAGGATCGAAGCTTTAAGTTTCGTATTATGTTTAAGCGTTTGTGTTCTTATTAATTTTGTACTTGGTGGTCGTTAAATTTTCAATTATCACATTGTTAAATCTGTAAGTAGCCCTTGCGTACTAAAAATAAAAATAAATCAGCTTGACAGGACTTAAAGCAAAATCAAAGATAACGGTAGTGTCCGCATCTCACAGTCTGTTCAGAATTTAACTCTCTTAATTTCATATAAATGTAAATGTTTTATCATTATGTATGATTTTACTGACATGTCAATTATGAAAATATTATAGCACTCATTTGAATATTCGATAGTACTCTAGTTCTGTCCGTGTAGTTTACGAGAATTAATTAATATGGAGTATATAACTAATGTTTTTGAAAGTCCCACATGCTTAATGTATATAGGTTATCGTCACATCTGCGGGAGCACAGTCGGTCGAGTGGTCTGTTGTTTAATCCCCGCTGTTACCATTATTTTAGACTTACTCATTATTTTTGCAGTATATTTTAATTGATGCAAAATTGTCTTCACGGATATGTCCTATGAAACAACTTAGAAACACTGCTTTGTCTCGTTTCGTACTGAATTTCACAGTATTGAAATAAAATTTATTAATTTTAATCCAAATGATTTTAAATGTTACTTCTGAAACTGTGTTATCTAAAAAAGTTTAGACTTTACCCAAATAATTGCAAAACATAACATGTAGGACATTTAGAACTTATAAAGTATGGAAATGACAGGTAAATAAAAACAAACAATAAATATCCATGTTTTATCATTGCATGTAAATATCCATGTTTTATCATTGCATGAAGAAATCAATGTTTTATCATAACATGTAGATATCAATGTTTTTGTTATGTTTAACCATTGTATGTAGATATCCATGTTTTATCATTATTGCATGTAAATATCATTGTTTTATCATTACATGTAGTATAAATGTTTTACCGTTTCATGAAGATATTCATGTTTCATCATAACATGTAAATATCGGTGTTTTATTATTACATGTAGATATAAATTTTTATCATTACATGTAGAGATCAATGTTTTATCATTGCATGTAAATATCCGTGTTTTATCATTACATAGAGGATATTTGTTTAGTTCAGTGTAAGATCGGAATATATTTCACCGAGTGAGCACCAAAAGGTATATTTCACGAGTGGCGCTTTTGGTGTTCACAAGGTGAAATATATTTCGATCTTACACTAAACTAAACAAATTTCTTTTTATTACATGCAAAGAAACGTTTTAAAAAGACATTATACCTAATACTGAATAAAAAGCGCGCCAAATAATAATACATCGTGACGTCATTTACGACGTCACGTCATTAAGTTGGTACCCAATTCTGTGCACGCTGGTATTTCACTGAAACAACGTAAGGGGCTTAAATTCAAAAACAGTGAAATTATCAAAGTGGTAATTTCACTGTTTCAAACAGTGAAATTACCAGTTTTTATATCACTGATATATTTCAATAAACCACCGAAAAGCATGTAATAAAAGTAGATATCAATGTTTTATAATTACATATAGATATACATGTTTTATCATTACCATATGTAGGTTCATGAACCTTGTGAGTACATCTTATTATTAATATGTCTAGTCAATTCACTTTGAAAGCCGTAATGCACTCATTAGCAGTCTGTATAGTAAAAGAGCAGAAATTAAAATCACGTGCGTTTCTGTTCACCTAGACAATGCTTCAATCATCTATATTGTAATATTTTCTTCAATATATGGTCTTTGAAATCCAAGATTAATTAGTTTTTATTTATTGATTTATTATATTTTGAAAACGAGTAGCTTCGTTTGAAAGAAATGTTAAAAATGTCTGCCATCACGTGATTCCACGACCGACGGCTGTTGGTATAACTAGTATACGGTAATTTTATGTTTTATAGTTAGCATGCCACAACGACGCTTAATATCATAACTGTCGCTAAATGTCGCAACGCTGTCGTCAGTGTCCTTAAATATCACAAAAATCCTTGCCCTTAAATGTTGGAATAGTAATATCAAATGTCAATCGATTTTACTTTACGCTAAAAAACACCATAATTTAATTTGTTAAGAGTTATTTCTAAATTAAGTTCAAAAAAGATAGTTGACTATATCAATTTAAAGGTTATGTTGATATTATTAATTGTTGATATGAAAATATTGAAAGTTATCTGTATGTTTTTAACTTGATCTGAAAATAACTTTAAAGAAATTTGACGACATTAACGATAATGTTGGGACATTAAGCGAAATGGTTGTTTAGCATTTAACATTGAAATTTAACGACAGAAGATTGTGTGATGTATTACGACTGTTGTAACATTTAAAAGACATCGTTGTGACATTTAGCGACAAGTGTGACATTAAGAGGCGTTTCGATATAAAACGGAAGTTAACGGCAACGTTGCGACATTAATTTTTGCTGCGTGATATAAGATGACGTCTCGACATATAACGGTGTCGCACCAAGAAAATATGACTATTTTTGCAAAAGGGGCCTATTATAACGCGATCTCCACGAACACGTTTATCCGAAATATGTGAATATTTTAATCACTACGGAAAGATTTAAAAACAGCTATTTTAGCTTTTCAACCAATCCGTAAAATCTATTTTAAAGTAAATCATTATTTTGATTAAAAGATTATCAATAAAATAGTGTTCAACATAAACTGAACTAATATTTTAATCATTATATACAGGGCAGCAAAAAATAAAAGGAACACATTTATGAATACTCTGTGCGCGTGTATGTTTACAAGTTCTAAAACGTCTTTTATCCAGAAGAAATTATCTTTTATATGTATTTATTTTTTTGATTTTTTAACTTATATCTGAATCAAATTTATATATGGTTGTATCACTTTTCATTTTTGCAGTTTAATTCGGTTAGACATCTTTATATATTTGGATCTAGCCCATTCCAAGTGCTTCTTCATCATATTTATCAGTCTTCGTGGAAAAGAAGAAAAATAAAATAAGAGTCAACACTGTACATTTCAATATTTTTTGTTTTTTATTACATTATGCTGCAATACCGTCACAGTTCCAGACAATAAAAATGGAATTGCCAATAAAAATAATCAATAACAACGAATAAATCACTCATTACCATGGAAACAGAAACAGTTTATAATTATGTAATTTCTAACTGTAGTGCTTTTTTTAAATTACGTAAGTTTCAAAGTTAATGGTGTCCCTTATTAAATTCTCATTTCTTTTTTTTTTGTTTCCGACTCTGTTGATGTTAAAAATGAAAACAAAAATACTTTCTTTAAGTATCTGTGCATTTTTTTTACTCCCAAAATTAATTTTTAGATGGATCCCCCTTTTTTTAAAGTATCCTTTCGTTGAGCAGTCTCTAGCTTATGATCAAGACATAAACCCACCCTCCCCTAACCCTCGACCCCCCACCGTTTCGACCCTCTGAAGAAGTTTCGTTCGGCTGCTAACCAGACGACAATGTCATTTTGCTAATTTGCAATTCTTAAATAAACAGAATAATAAATACTTAAAGAAATGCACGTGCAAGCATTTAAATAATGAAATTTAAATTTATTAATTTCATACGTTCAATTTTCCGACTGGTATATATCTGTCATTTTAATGAAAAATCAATTTTTAATCATAACTTTTTTTATTATGATTAAAAAAATAACCATGGCAAACTGTGATGATAAAATGATACAAAAGACAAAATGACATGAAAAAGAAATTAATGAAATTCTGTTGGGAATTTCATAGCAAATGAGAAAATAATTCATTCAAGCCTTTTGTCATCCGTATATAACAATATCTGAGAACTATATACATACAATAATAAATTTATATATCATTAATAACACATTAAATATCTACTTAACATCTTCTTGTGTATATAATAATATGTCGATATACTCAACAAATTTTCAAAATGGTCACTGTTAAAAATGGATTCTTAAAAAAAAAATGTGCCGATTAAAAATAAGAAACAGCAAAGTTATACAAACAGGGCATTTTCTTTCTAATATATAGCCCCAATCTAAAATATTTTTCCCCAATTTAAAAATTATCCCAGCTGCTATTAATGTCTAGCTCTTTCAGCTTCTGGGAACACTAGAGCTGTTTTGACATTTTAATGTAGCTGTACGTTATATGATTGACACATACTATATGAAAAAAACTTAAGTCACTGTTTTTTTTATCAACATTTTAGAATTTTCTTAAATTTACGAAAAAAAGCCTCATATTTCCCAATTCAAGCTAGAAGCATTTTCAAAAAAAAATGCTGCAAAATGCTGCGTAATCAGTCAATTAAAGAAAATTAAACAACAGATTGTGCATTAAGTACTATAGTTTGCAAAATTTACAACTGAAAAAGAAACTATATTTTATACCATTTAAATAGAAAGAGCAAATATGATCTAAAAAGGTAAAGAAAACGTAAAATAAAAACTTTTAAATTGTTTGTTCGTACATGCATTTTTTCTGGTCCTGTCAGTAATATAAATAAAATTTACTTAAAAAAACGAAAGTCCCTAAATTAAAGTATATTTAAAAGTTTTTGTTCAGCCATCGCTTAACGTACTAGAACAGAAGATGACTATTTCATATATAGTCCATGTGCATTTAATAACCTTTTGTTCAATCTTTCTCTTCATGTTATTGAACGTTTTGTTGTTGTTGTTGTTGTTGTTGTTGTTGTTTTATGGCATATTTTGCAAATTAAATCAGACAAAGAGTGTCCATTTAGAAAACATGTTGAGTATAATTTTTTTTAAACCACTCGTTTACAATTTTCCTCTCTCTTATTAACTTCTGACATGAACATATTATAAAAAATGTCGCGAAAATCGTGCTAAAAACACGGTATCAAAACATTGCCAGATTTCGCTTTGCAACATTTTTATTCAAATTATTTATTTAAGTTAATAATTTTTTGGGGGAAAAACTGTTCAGATTTTGGTTAAATCTCTATCAACATACATGTTATATACACAATAATCATGTCACGTTTCTTATCATTCTTGTCAATATACTGAGAAGAAAATTAATATTCAATTGTAAACTTCTTGCCAAAATTCCAGGAACACACACATAATAGATTAAAGTATATGAAATTAAAGACAGACTATTTCCAACTGCAAACGAGTAGTTTTAAATAAGACAAGGACTAAAGAATCAGATAAATAACATTCGCACATAAATTTATTCGAACTGATATGTAAATATTGCACTTTACCAATCTTTCTGTACGAAAATTAAAAACAAAAACAATAAAAATAAAATTTATACAGAAAAACAATATTCTTATGAAGGGAAAATTAGATAAAGGAAAATAAGAAATATGTCTTAGCCTTTTTTCTCCATTTTTTTTTAATCAGTACATTAATGGGTTCTACCGGTTTAATCACCTTCATTAATAGAGGAGCCCACACTGGCAATCGGCAAATTTCGTCAATGTTCGTAAAAGGTATGTTCGCTTACAATATAAATCAAAAGACCAGAATAAGAATAGTTTGTGTTTTACGTACAAGAAGCTCTTTTGTACAGATAGAGTAATATGGAATCTATGTAGATATATATACTATATGTAGATAATTTTTCAGTTTTCAAAGTATACTATCTATTAAACATAAATATACTTACTTATCAACATAATGAGCATCAAACATAAGGGCTATCTTTCACAAAGTACACACACAAAAGTTTCCATTTTTTTCTGTTACCTAATCAAAACTTCATTCGTTCCAGTTTTTTTCTCATGACGTCACATAACATTTACGTCACATAATATCGATGACTACCATAGTATTCAAATGCCAACAGATGATACTGATACATGTCATAATGCTTTGTATATTACCTAGAATTTCCTAAGATCCCAAGTCCAAGTTACTATATCGACTTTCGCTCTACTTGAGGTGACTCCAGACATTATATGCGCATTTCATCCCCGAATAATCCAATTTTATTTACTATCCGAAATAGATCTACACTCAATAAACTTCCACGTGATTTGAATTTGGACCAAAATCCGGATAACCACGGCCATTATCGTTCATATCCGGAGGCATCATCCTTTGTGCCATTGGATTTCCGCCCATCATTGGCGGGATTCCGTCCATTGGAATTAAATGTCCATTCATACCAGGGGATCTCCTTTCCATGAAATTAGATGTGTTCATCATACCACCATAAGGGCCCCAATTTTCCATGGGAGGCGTACCTGGAGGCACATGGTGCCCATGGCCTGTCATATTTTGTTCATGATCCATGGAACCAGCAAATATATCACTCGAAAGACGCCCACTGTGAACAGAGCCGGGGTCCATTTCATCTATGTCAACTGTAATTGAAACAATTGAAAGTTAATTGACACAGTATATTACTGATAAAGAAAAAGAATTATGCATTGTACTAGAATTTCAGGACTCTTTTAACGAAGAGCTTTCTTCAAATTTGTTTTAGCTGTGAAAATGCTTATAATTTTTACAATTTTACAATGTACTTAGAGTTAATTTCATTAGATGAAATTTCAACGCACCATGGTAGTCTGTCATGCCATCTTCCGAACGATCATCACTTAAAGAGCTGTCGATATCGCCATTCTTTTTCAGTTGTCTTAAATATGGGCTCCATCTTTGTCGGCCAGCGTCCTTCTTTAGACGCTTCTCTTTGGCACGTCTATAAATAAAACCATATTTTTCTAATAATAGCTTTAAGTTCATCTATTGATAGAATCTACTGTTACAAGTACTTTGCGGATGGCTTACCCCGTAGGAGCCCCTATATGAAGTCAATTGTCGTCCATTCTGTTATCATGTGGTATTAAATTCTCTATTCTGATTAGCTTAGAACAGGTGGTGTACGTGCGGCTTGGAAATGGTCAAATCTTGTTAAATGTATATGTTGCCGCAGTCCAGCAACTGTTGAACGGCGACAATTAGGAGCTTACATTGACACCATCAAAAGAATATGAATGAACAAGAGGAGCCATGAACAAGAGGTGGCGCTTGACAATTGTATTTAAATGTCCTTTCACTTTGATCTTAGCTATGGTATCTTATTTCAATTTTATTAAAACCTAACATGTACAATGATAATACAATGTATATGTATATCAATGTAATAAATCAACCACCTGGCGGCAAGTTGTGGTAAAGTTGCTTACGCCGTCATGCAATCTTTTGGTTAACAGACGAGATCACGCGATGCCGGTCTCCTGAATTGGTGCACATTATTTTAATAACTGTTTAATATTCATTAGGTGTCAAAATAATGTAAATGCAAGCGAATTCTAATTTCCATGCTATCATACAGAGTAATGAATATTTTGTATCTAATGAGGATTATTAAAATTATATATTCATTTTTAAAACAAAAGATTATATACATCAGTTTCAAAAATGAAAAAGGACTTAACTCTTGTTCGTGAGGAAATGGAGGAAATTTGTGGTGGTAACACAAAAATTGATTTTGTTGAAAAATATTAGTAATATTTTGTACGATTGCATTTTGTTTTAGCATTAAAAATTAAAGCAAAGGATCGCCATTTTTAAATTCATACAAATGTACATTTGTAAATATAATACTGACCTGTTTTGAAACCACACCTGCACAACTCTCATATCTAGGCCGGTTTCAGCGCTCAATTGTTCCCGCACATGACGTGCGGGTTTTGGGCTCTCGTTGTACGCTCGCTTCAGTGCTTCAAGCTGTTTGGCTGTTATTGTAGTACGTGGACGCTTACTGGCGTCGTCAAGACCATAGTCACCAAAACCCTCTGTGATATATATAAAAAAAACATTGATAATAACAGACTGATGTCATGAGACATTTAACTTTATTACGTAATGATAACAAGAATATAATAACGATTGTCTCTACTACAATTCATTTTTCAACCACTTAAAATCTTCGTCTGTCACTTTTTATAAAGGGGTCAATTATGGGTAATCGTCTGTGTATATGTGTCGGAATGACCCAATATAAAGAAGCATTAAGGTTAAAGTTTATTTGGAACATTAGGAGCAGTCGGATTTCAGTTTTAGAATGTAATAGACCTTTCTTTCCGGGAAAATGAAACCTTTTCTCAAAACAGATTCATATTTCACCATCGTGTGACATATACCTGGTATAAGTTCACACACTCGTCTTAATATATATTATATCAGTTTACACAAAAGTTGTAACACTTACAAACTATCAAACTATAAGTAACCGAGGCTTATTTTACAAATGTGGCGTTATAGCAATTTGAGACTGTGATAATTCTATTGTATAATAAACATTTCACCTAGGTGTCCTTTTTCCTTTCTAAACATCACACTGACTTAAACTTAACAACAAATTTATTCCCGGAGCATTAACTTTGTATATGTTTAACAATGTCTTTAAGTATTGTAAGACCCGTGCATATGTCCACTTCTGGATACAGACCACATATTTTTTAAACAAAACAAAAAGCAACTAACACAAAGTAACGTATTCATTTCCAAACCTACATACATATAAGTATTTGAGTGTTAGTTTCAGTAGAAAATGAGATAAAGTGAATTTTTTACCAATGTTACAGTCACGTGACATATTTCCGAAATTATATCACATTATTACAAGTGATACAAAGTCACAAACAGCTACCAACTCAGTAGCAGACGACACTTTCATAAGACTTTCAAAACTCTCTCATAAATTCAGAATATTGTGATCATTTGATGAAAATTGTATAACAACATTTTGTCGCATCAAATCTCTTTTTTATATTAACTATCTGAAAAAGTTGCGAAGTGCACATATAAGGGCATCAAGGTTCATCATCTGAGCCCCGCATATCAACAAAGAGTTTATAATTTGTTTTCAATGCTGTTCGTGACCCGTTGGGAAATCTATCACAAATAAATGGGAGAAAATCGTTTGCGCAATGATACAGATTTGTAGGTATTTTCACACAAAGCGTTTTATATGAAAACACTGAAAGATCAGTAAAATGTGGTAGCGTGCATGTACTTTTAACTTCTCCCCAAAGGCTTAGATTAATCTAGATTTATAAAGTAATGACTGGGATTTGTTTTAACGAACAATAAGGGTTTACTGGTATTCCATCTATTTTCATTCTGAATTTTAACGGCAATAGTCACTGACCTGTAAAAAAACATCAACAACAAAAAACATATATACATTGTATATTCATTGTATAATATATATGCTTTCTGACAGTTTGCATGTCCCTGATGATGATATATTTTTTTTACATTTTCTTTTTGATTCAAGAAATGCTAAATGCATTGACAAATCAAAACAGAATCATAGCACGTGTCAATATTTGAAAAATGTTATTTCCGTTACAGTTTGTGGAGGATTTTTTATATGTATGTGTATCTTTGCATCTATTTAGTTTAACTGTTTTAGTCATGATATGATAAAGCCTTCAATTTACCCATAGAAATTTAATTAAATTAATTTATTAATCCAATGAATGAAATAAGAAAAGATAATTTTCAGGGCATTTCTATGTACAGAAAGATGAAATTAAACAAAATATTTAGATTGGTTTATTACTCAACTCACCCTCACCTCTGGCTTTCGCTGCTTCATAATCCGTTTTACAAACAAGTTTTTTGTCCTCCATTAAATAAAACTCATCTCCCGTGTTGAGTTGTCGGCTGCACATAAGGCATGCGAAACATTCCAAATGATAAACATTGTCCTGCGCACGCCGAACTACTTCCGTCGGAGGAATACCTCGATCGCACCCTGCGCATTTCGTACCAAAATGTCTGAAAAAAATTAAAAGAAACATGTTTATATTAATATCTTGAGTAGAGAAAAATGAAACAGTAGGCGTTTTTCATATTTCATAAATGCTGTTGCATCTTTCATTTATCTTTCTTTTTTTCTAAGTAGAAAAAAAGAAAGGGAGCAGACATCTTGCCGTTGACATCTTATATAACACCGCATGTGCTTTATCACGTGACAAATATGGTCCAGAAGGATCAACTGTCCCAGAATTAGAATTGTAACCCTTCAAAATGTTATCATATACAATCTGTATACTCTTCGCACAATAGATTTATTTTGTATCTACTGTAGTATAAAACTAATACACTTAGAACTAAATAATTTAAGCTGTGATTTGTATCATAAAAAGTCATTTATATGTATCGTCTGCAACCTTTATGCTAATCACGTTTATCATCCAGAAGCTGTAAAATATAACACAAAAAAAGAAGAAAATAATCAACGCTTCATGAACATAAAACATTTTTCACGAACATTACAGTATTTGTACAGGGACGGTATCACTCGCTGATTTATAACCCGCGCTATCTCTTCCCTCTATTTATACAGACAATATTTATGAATCCTTAAGAAAACAAGAATTTCCACCGAAAATGGAGAAATTGGGCAAAATAAATATTTTCTTTTGCAAGGCTTCAATCAGCACGCTGGGGCAGATGACATAAAGTGATTCAAATCTTGGCTAAATGTTGCCGCTTGTCTGAAAGCAGAGCAGAATTAATTGCAGAAGTTTTATTTTCTTACATTAGCGACATCTGCGCATTAATATCAAGAGTATACTGTGTTCATGAAATTTTCATTTGTTTATTTATTTGTTTATTTGTTTTATCTCTGATGAAATTTTGAATGTCTTCAATTCGGTTTTATTGTATTAGGAATGTTGTATTAAGGAAATAAACAAAATTTGAATTTTCTGAAGAAAAAGAAAATCTTCAATTTCTATTGAAATCGCTGTTGTATGTGATGAGAGACTATTTCTTATGCTCGAACTTTAAAGAAAAAAATTAATTGAACCTGTAACGATAATTGAATATAATCTTTAATTTATAATAATCAAGTGTTTTCTAATGCAGCGTTTGTAAGCATTAAGAAATTGTTATCTTTATATGCAAAAAAACTGTATAGTAACAAAAAAAATCCATACTATACATTGTGTACTAAAGCAAAGGTGTATGCGAACGACACTAATGCAAAGTTGCGTTATATTTAGTCCATGTCGACTTAAGGCTATTTGACAAAGGTCTTGTTAATGTTCACAATAACACAGAGTGAAGTCTGTTTATTACAAATATCTGTTACAATAAGTCATTGTTATATTTATGCAAAGCTCTGAAACAAAAAGTATATGCTTTACTCATACAATGCTCTGGAACAATAAGCCAATGTTATTTTTCATGCAAAGCCCTTGAACGCTAACACTAACTTAGACAATAAGTCAGAGCTATATTAATGCAGTCACAGAACAAAAAGTTAGTTTTATGCACTGTTCTGGAACAATAAGTCAGTGTTATTTCATGCAAAGCTCTGGAACAATAATTCCAAGCTATATTAATGCAAACAACTGATCAAAAAGTCAGTGTTATTTTTATGCAAAGAAGTAATGCTGTAATCGTGTGTTTCTAATAATAATTTCATCTTAATTTTGATAATTAACGTTGGTTTAATACGTATTTACTATGTACTTAATATAAATATCACATACTTTCATAAATAAACTCTTTCAGAAATTAAAAGAACCAATGTACGGTTGATTTACATTAGTGAAACTGATAATTAAGTATAACCAATTTAGTTTAACGCAAAACATCTGTAATTGCTCCTTTTATAATTTGTTTTAAAATCTAATTCTCTGTAGACGGTTAACCAATGACAGCATTGTCAAAGAGATACGCAAGGGAACTTACGTCAGATTAGCGATTTTCACAAATGGTGGATAAAACAATCCATTTAATGATTCCATTTTAATTCTAGAATCCTCAACGGGTTTCTTTGCAAGATATAGAACTGTTCATGTTTTAAAACGTTTACTACGCGAATATTCTCAAAGATTGGAAATAATTTTTACGTACAAAAAGAAAATGTCTTCTAACCGACAAAATAAGCGTCTGTTTTTACTGACGTAATATCATTGAAGTTTATTGTAGTTGTTGTTGTTATAGTTTACATTTGGAAAGCTTCCGGTGGATCAAATGATTAAAAAAATGGATCGAATAAAAAACCATGCCGTTAATATTATTTAAGAAACGGCATTTAACATCTAATAGAATTTTACAAATATGAATGTGATAAGCTCTTGGACTTGCATCAACGCACCTTGTCCTTTCCGTCGAAGTTCGATACAGCTTATAAACCTAATTTGTTTTACAGATTCACTCATAAATGTACATTGATCTTCATAATACTTTTATATATTTTTCTTTTATACAGATTGTTTGTATTGTTAAAGGATAGTCTGTTATGTCGGAAAATAGCTTATATAGCTAATGTTTATATGTTTTTGTAACCGACTATAAATAAAGATTATCTTAAAGATTACCTTAGGACTGATACTAGTTGTTCGGTGTGATGTTCGAATGATATAATGAGCGTTCTTTTTATTAGACCAACATGATTATACATCACCTACCGGCGACATTACAGAAATAAATGACATGCTCTCCTGATATGTGCATCACCATGGAAACTGTTTATTATTAATATGGATAATTGTTATTTCTGTTTGTTGTTGTTGTTGTTGTCTGTTGTTGTTATATCGTAGTTTTGGTCGTTAAATCTTTTGTTAGTTTGTTCATTCGTTAGTTTATTCTTTGGTTTGTTTGTTTTTGTGTGTTTGTTTGTTAATTCGTTCGTTCGTTCGTTCGTTATGGACAGCGAAAGTTTACTTTGTAAATTTGGAATAGTGGAATATGTTTGGCATTTTCTGTGTGTAAAATAAATATTAAATGTTCAGCTCGTTAAACTATGGAAATATAGTCATTTGATTTTCAGATAAATTTCCATATTTCAGTTCACTACTCAATGATTCTTTCACTAGAATATATTACAAATAGAGATGAATATTTATCATAAAATCAAGTAATTTCAGCACTATAAAGGGAAATAGAACCATTTCCAATATATGTATTTTTAACAAATTGAATACTTTGAAATTGTCATAAAACGTTTCGCATTATTTTGCTATGCATAGTTAGATATTTCGATTTAAGATATTTCGTTTTAATTAAATTTAAGTGTCTACTAGAGAGATCGGACCATGACAAAAAATGGTACTCTAAACGAATGAAGTGGTCCGAGACTGACTAATATTGTCATTTTTTACAACTTTAACGGTATACGACAATTTATTAATTAAATTGATTGCATTAATCAAATAATCATATCTTGTCATTTTGCTTTTATCTTTTATAAACTATTCATAGTTTAAAGATGTGACGGCACGAAACGGACAGTAATAATTATTATAAATATTTAAGGACACTCTTTGCACCTTGAAATTAATTAGGAAAATGAGAAAATGGTTTAAAATAGACGCACATGACGCGTAAGTCACTTTGATAATATTCGTTAACATAAAATGGCACTTTTTTCTAACCTGGCATTTTATGAAGCAACCTGGAAACTGGTTATCCGTCGCCCCTGGGACGCTACCCTAATGCAAATGTAGTGAAATATTAATAATATTTGAATATATCCGGGCTTAATTTCTCACTTGGCGGAGATAATTGCAAAATTACATCAAAGATAGAAAAAAAAATGATCGAAATAACCTCTCGATGGATAAGACTTTTTTTAGAAAAAGGTTCTCCCGGCGCGGATTGAAATTATTATACATCAGGGAAAGATACTTGATAAATTTTATATAAGATATGTTATAGTAAAAGTGTTATGTGTTTAATAGTATTGTGTGTTTGATAGTTTTGTGTGCGTGTTCCAATGAAACGTAAGTTGTGTAATTTTCGTTTAGAGATTAAGCCGGTGCAGATACATGGGAGGGGAGGCCAGCAGTGTCGCCATCACATATATAACACACGTCATCTTCTTGTTAATTTAGCAAATTATGAGTATAAAGTAAGACCATTCTGCGGTATATACCGAATGATTCTTGAGGATGAACATTTTACATTTCTAAATCATTTCAAAACATTCAAAACATTTAAGTAAGGGTTAATCCTGTCACAGTCCTTTATCTTAGGATAGATCCTAAAATGTAAAGTTATACAAGGTGAATATGTCTCTGTCATATTTGTATTATTAAATTTCAATCTCCCCGTTCCATTGGCTTAATATACATGACGTTTGTTTGTTTGTTTATAATGAGTTTTACTATTTGTCTTCATCAGCATTAATCCACTTAAAATGAATAGTTTGATAAACAAAAATATAAAATTTGAAATTTGTTAAAACAAATCATCCATCTATATAAAACAAATGTATGATTGTTTTGATCTGATATTTTTTGTAGATATTATAGAAAATGGCTTTTTATAATAGCCTCGAAGGTAAAATAACTCAACTTCAAGTATTTAAACGATAACTATCTAAATTGATTCAGCATCAATTATAATACTATGAGAAAGAAAGAGCGTTCGCCCATAATGACCGTCCTGACACCCAAGGTGACCCATACTACCCATTAACGTTACCAACTTCCGCACGAGATCTCATGCAAAAAACAGAATTGCCTTGCAAATAACGTCATGGATACACGGAATTTGTTAATATTCGGACGAATCCAACATATGTTTTCCCTGGTTATCGTTTCCATCTAATCTCTGGCATGCGATTTGGCCATTTAATTTCATTAAATATCGTGATAGCAACAAGTAAAATGATAATTTATTTCCTTCTTTTTAAAGTTTCTTGCGATTATCTGAAGTGATATTTCGCCATCGGAAAGAAACTTTTCACGATATTTGTGCTTTATTTTAGAGAGAACACGGTTGTTCGCTTTCTTTATTTTGTTTTGTGTGTATGCTGATTTTGTTGCTATTATTCTTTTTGCTTTTTGTTTATTTTTCATTATTTTATTTTTTTCATCAAATCTACCTGGTCCTGATTTCTTACTTTTAGTTTAAGTTTGAACTGTCGCTTAAAAATTGCGGAAAGCAAATGAACTTAGATAATTTTCCAGTAGGTTAGGTATATTAAATAACTGATAACAGAATGAATATCAAAATGAGTAAAGGACACTTTTAGCTTAGTTTGTACTATCTTTAATCAAAATTTATAAATATGTTAAATATTCCAAAACTTTAAAATGGCGTCACAATACATGTGCCTAACAGGTTTCATTATAAAGATTGAATGATTTAAAAAATATTTCATTCAGTAACGTACATTATTTAGGTCTCATCTGCTCAAATAATCAACTATAGTGGAGGAACTCAGCGGTAAGGGGATTGTTTATTGGTTCTACAAAATGCTTCTTCTATGATTCATCAAATACATGAAAACATTTTGTTGCAATTTAGAAATGAAGAATTCATGAAACTTTCATATTGCTTGAATCTCAAAAAATGGGAACTGCAAACATAGTACAGGGTACTTACCTAAAGAAATCATCTTTGCAGTAAACATGGTCCCCTTTTGAGAAGCATTTGTCTGTGAGCTGGGCATGGCAGTCGGCACATTTGAGGCAGCGGGCGTGCCAACATCGTTCCAATACTTTCAATATGAAGCGGTCCAATATTGGCTCCCCGCATCCAGCACATTTCGGGATTGCCGCTGAAAATATATAATAAAACGCTTGACCATTGATATGTCAAAAATATAATATGTTCCTTAGATAAAGTACAGTCTGCTAAAAATAAATTGCCTTAGCAATGCTACGTCCTGGAGTAACTAAAACTTGAACCTATAGTATCAAAGTGTCTTTAGCTGATTTTTCACAGTTGTTCTGTTACTTCAATTTTATATCTTAAGCTGTGATTTTTCATGACGTCATGTCAATAATATTCGATAACATTCAATATATAGTTGAGAAATTGATGTTGTTTTTTTTTATTGAAATCCTAATCATCCGGAATCTATGTGTTTTTTGAAAAATCTAGCTAACAAGACAGCATCTCGGGACACATGTATTTTTATACCTCCAATTTTCCAAGACGTCACACAACCAGGTCATAAATACGGATAACAGTACCGTACGCTGGTTTCTAGCGCATGCGGTGTCGGTGCCCATATTGAAGTAAAATGAGTTACGTTGGATTTAATTTAACTAAAACTTGCGAGTTTGAGAGATAACTTAATTACTGATATTAGTTATTTGCGAGGAAGCGGTACGCTCACACAGAATATAATGTAATTATATCCCGTGTTGACGCAGAAAATCATTTTATCCTACATCACGATTTTTACACGTGCTAGTTCTATTTTCTCTCATTTTCTTCAATATTTTGCATTTCAAAAATTGATGTTTTGTTGCATTGTTTTTGGTTTTTGTTTTTGGTTTTGTTTTTTGTTTTTTGGCTGGGTTGGTTCGGTGTTGTTTTATTGTCACTTTTTTATCTTTTTTTGTTGTTGTTGTTGTTGTTGTAGCTAGTTATTTTAATGTTGTTGTTGTTGTTGTTGTTGCTGCTGCTGCTGCCGCCACCTCAACGAGCGAATCATGTTTTCCTGCGGGTTTTTACCAATCGCTTTTTGCGCAGTATTAAAAGCAATTTAATTATCTATATTTAAGGTAACAATGACAATATTTGTTGTATATGTAGTTTGTTTCATTACTGAGTTCACAGTTCCTCACAATCAAATCTAAAACGGGAACAAATCTAAATAAATTTATTATAAAACTGACTTGAAAGATGCTGATAACAAAATATGTAATATTCTGTGTTTCCTTAACACCACAGTAAATTAATGAAATATAATATCATAAACTTTATAAAATAATACATGTTTTCATCATTTTACACCACCATTCTTCTTTTTCTGACAATTTATCAGTATATATAATGTATTTTAATATCAAAATTAACGATAGCTCATTCTTACACGAAGAAATATAATTCTTTTATTATCAGAACTTTGTCTTTTTGTTATGTATATTTTCACGTCGGCACTTTAACTTCACGCGTTTCCGACACCCATGAATGTTTAAGGCACACGTATTTTCTCCTATTTCGTCTATACGTTCATTGTCGGCCTTTTGTCCACAGGTGTCGCTTGTGACGGTAATATAATCAAACGAGATGGAATTTCTCTAATTCAGAGGCAAATGTCATTTTCTGTCTCATATTTATTCTTTTAGAAATGGTCTTATAGAAATTGGCTCTGGCTCATTTTGAAAGCGATACATATAATTGCGAAATGAACATATGCGCTTAAATTAGTACGTTTTATGAGAAAATAAACGAGATTTTTTTTTTAATTTTTAATCTACTTTTCATGGTAAAAGTTACATTAAGTATATAAATAGTGACGAATAATTAAAATTATTTATACTTTTACAGACAATAAAGGAAGAAAGATTCCTACGAAAAAGGTACACTATCCTAGTGTTTTAATTTTTTTTCAATTTTTATTATTATTTTTTTTTTTTTTTCAATTATAAAAAATCCATTACGATTAGTCTGAATGGTGTTGATATATCTGTGACTCATGGGTTGCACTGGGAGGCTAAAGACTGTTGCCATGAGAACGGTAAAAACAACAGATAAAACAACCTTGCATTTAGACGTCCAAATACCGAAATAAAATAAATCCTGGACAAAATTAGGAGACAAAAGTGCTTACCATGAATGTTTACGGATTATAAGAGCATAAACCTCTACCATACGGTACACGTATTTTGTATGGTGACTGTATGGTGAATTCATCTTTGACAAGCAGACCTTTAGAATTAATGATGTAACTAGCGTATTATCCTTTAATTTGTATCTTAATATCTTGCTGCACCATACAATTTTTACCAAGAATGGAGCTAATCATTTCAAACTAGCTTTTGATGTGAGTTGTCTGCAATACATAATTCATACGAAAAGTAAATGAATAATAAATATTATACTTAAACAAACTTTTAAAATAGAGATAAGACCAATGGGTAGAGATCAATCTTCATTTCATCTTGTTTTACTGTTTCAGTCCTAAAGATCGACAGTCAAAGATTTATTACTGTTTGGAAAAAAAAGAATAAAAAGAATTACATAGCCAGATGTTTTACTCATACACCGTGACGATCGCGTGCAGTTTTATCATTTCTCACAACTGTTTAAAGTTACCGCTTCACCGGTTTCATGGCTGACCCACGCGACATAGTCAATATTTTCTCATGATAAAGTTCGATTTCTTGAATACGTTTTCAATAGAGAATGAAACTTAAAAAAGTACAATAATTGAATATGTCGCATTTTTATAGAAAGGGTCCCTTTTATGACTACTGCGGTAGATACTGCTTTGATATCCGTACCAATGCCTGTCGAAAGTGAATGTGCACAAAGTTGACATAATAAAATTGTCACAGTCGCTTGCCCAACTAAATAAATAGATGACAGAACATGCACGTTTATTTTAAAAAGGATGACATTTGGAGAACGTAAAGTCAATATCGAACTTGAATAGTAATTTTAACCGATTCCGATGCACACTTTGGTAATTTTAAACTTTTTATTTGTATGTTTGTCAAATACTCTTATTTTTGTTATTTTACTATTTTGTAAAACATTTGTTTATTCCAAGCCTCCACATCTTTTACTATGAACCTACTTTCTTTGAAACTTTTTTAAAGAATAAGATCTTTTTATCAACAGGACGATATCAAAATAAAAATGAATGTTATCTTGAGCTAAGTAAATGTTTTGTCTTATCCCGGAGTACCAGCATTTCTTTTATCTTTTATATAAAAGTTTGTTACATCTCGGTAAACGACAGGGAAAACCCCCACTTTTGTCGAGTTCCTGAATGTCTCTTTTATCTATACATGCATATAGCTAGGTCATTTGAAACCATTATTTTTACATGACTAGGTCATTTTTAAAAATAATTAAGACATTGCTAGATCACTATTAACAATTATTTAGATATGACTAGGTCACTGGTAAATATTGCTTACAAATAACTTGGTCTCTTTTAAGCAATTAACTAGACATAGGTAGGTCACTTGTTACAAGTATCGCATGATATTACAAAGCAAGAAAACTGTTTTAATCAACACCGGAGTGGCAGCGCGTCGGACTAGTAATCTAAAGCTGACCGCGTGGGTTCAAACCCTATCAGGGACAAGCCGTTGTTTCCTTGAGCAACAAACTTTACATTCATTGCTTAGTAGTGGATGGTTCCAGGAATGGATTGAAAGTATTTCAGTAAGGTTATAGCTTCCAACACAATCGAACTAAAATAAATTTGTATGAACTAAACTAACATTGGACGATTCAAATAAGTGCAAAATAAGGGGCTGAATTACACTGAAAACAAGGGACGTCATTTGATAAATATATAAAAGCATATTTCTTTATAATTGTTCTTGCCAGGCGGGTAACCTAAACGCGTTCTCGGTGGTATTTTGTGTTTCCCTTAAATTTTCCTAACAGTTTGATAACAGATGTGTTTCTATCGTTAGCACGTGTTTGTATCAAGACTCCATTACAATACTTTAAGCTATTGATACATCCGAAGATATATCCTTTCCATTTAAAATGGCGTCAAATTCTAACTTCCGCCGAGGCACGCGCCCTCCACGTGCAAGTCACATGACAATATTCCGCCCTCTGGTGAGCTAATTGACAATGATTAACCGAGAAAATTGAGCGTTAGAAAATGTCAAGACCCATCAAAGTATCTCACTTTGCAAATATTGACGATATTTGACGAAAAGAAAGTGAAATGGACACCAGAATATGAAGTTTTATTGAAGCTTGTAATTGTGGCCATAGAAAATTTTATTACAGCTAGCGCGTATGCCGTAATATCGTTGAAGAAAAGGAATTCTCATCGTGTTTTCATTTAACCAATGCATAAGACGCTCCCTACAAGTTTGTCGTAAGTTTTTGCTATTTATGAAAGATATACTAACTAATTTCGCAGAAAACTTATTCTTTAAAAACTCTTTAGTAGCAAAAAATTGCAAAAGAGATGAACAATAGTAAAAATGAGCATGATAAAGCTACTTTATATTTAACGAATGAAAATAACACATACATGTACTTGATTTTATATGCATTTTAAAAAAAACATAAAAAAGATAAATCAGACGGTAACCATTTCCTAGGATCATTTATACACAAACGATTAAAAAGCAAACTAAGGAGTTCGCGATAATTTCACATTGTTTTTTCAAATGTTTTGGCCATAATATTTTAATAAAACTTGTTTCAACTTTCAAATATAAATCAATATATAAGTACACAAAAAGAAAGTCAGTACATTTGTTATCGTGCTTCCAGATGTTTAGATGAACATAAAAGGAGTATCAAATGAGGGAAAAAAATAAACTGTAGTTCTTAATTAAACACTCCTGAGAGCTTTCACAAAGGAAGAAAATTTCTGCATCAGTACGCAAAATTGAAAATGCACCAAAAATGATAAACATTGCTACACCGTGTATATTTACTTGCTTACATTAACAGATCATACATTTGGAAAATAATAAAGATATATATGTCTGCTTGTCTAATATGTGTCTCCAAACACGTCATACCTACTGCTTGTGTGCTCAGACTTAACATTTGATGTTTACTCTAGTTGCCACTGGAATAAATGGAAGTTGTTCGAATTTGCAGGTTATAAAAAAC